TCATTCTTTTGATGAAAAATTGTTTTTTGAAAAATATTGTTCATGTTCAATAAAATTTAATATGTACTTAATGCATGAAGCATCATTGTTGGGCCAAAAGGCCCAATCAAAACCCCGCCCCCTACAGGAGCTAACTTAAATGCCACCCTGTAGGGTGGCTTTTCAGCTAGTTACCAATATTTCCTTAATGTCTTTTTTCTTTGATTTTTTAGCTCATTAATTGTAGGAGTGTGTTGAAGCATATTTCAATTAAATGGATCAACCAGTACCGACAAACATCACCAGTAGTTACAATAATTCTTTAGTGTGACATCACTAGTAATAGTACTAATAGTGATATCTCCTAAACATCACAAAGTTAAGATGACAATTTTCCTTATTGTTAGACTGACTACAATTTTGAGTAACACTCATTTTAATAAAAAGACCTTCAGAATTCTTTTTTTTTCTTTGAAGTGTAAACCCTAAAGTCAGCTATTCTAATTAATATTTTAAGGAGATGCTCCACATTTTTGGTCTTGTAGTTTGTTAAGAGGAAATAAATCAAAAAAATTATTTTAAGGGTCAAAGTGACATAAAGAGAAAAATTCATTTGCTACATTTTTGTTAACAATTATTTAAAAATTCATTTTTTTTTAGCCGTTTTTATAATATTTAATTAAAGCTGCTAAGCAAATCTTGATTTTATTTTAAGAATAATTGCTGTTTTCTTAAGCTTCTTGGATTATGCACTTGCATATAACAGCACAAACCTCAAATTATTAAATTTGACAAACAAAATGCTGACTATCCAGCAAACTAAACAAAGATCTGAGACACTGACTCTTTACATATTTTACAAACAATGAAATGTAATCATGAAGTACATATATGTAAGGAATTAACATTTTCCAAATGCATTTGTTTACAATGAAATCTAATAATACTAATTGACTATACATGAGTATACATTATTAAATCAATCAAAGCACATACTGACTTCTAGGCAGTGTACTTTGAAATTAGCAATGTATTTTGTGATCTTTCATCAGTAGATGATCAAATTTTGTATACCATATAAAAATCAAGCAAATACTTATGAATGTTCAGTCAGCCATTTTTGACTCAATGAGTTTAAAGTAGAGGAAATAAATTCATTTAGTTCTGATGAATCAAACTTTGGCTCCACTGGTGGCAAAATTCAGACTACATTCAAAAGGTAAGAATCTGATGCTGATGCAGTTATATTTACAATATTTCTTTTGCATTTTTCAACAGTTTTATTGCATTCAATTTACACAGAAATTATCTTCACTTGCTGTAATATCAGCCACAGTAATTCTCTCTTACAAGAGCTTGCTTTCATGTATTAATAACACATTTATCCATAAAATGTTTAATGATTTAATTTACATACTGCCTTCTGATTATCTTTCTTAATGTTTATTCATGTTTATTATTAGTATTCTGATATGCAAGTTTTTTCCTAAAACCTTAGTAGACAAAAATCTACAAAGTACTGGCTTTTCTAAGTAAATTATAATGAACCAAGTAAATAGTAATAGTAATGAAAGACTAATGAAATCTAAATTTAGTTTTTTACTATTTAGTCTTGTAGTATTTCTTTACTGCTTTTACTATGATATAGTTTCATCACCATATTTGATTAACCAACAAGAAAACAGTGATACTGACCCAGAAATAAAGAAAGTGATTTATTAAAAGTAATTTTGATGTATATTTTGTGATGATCTTGAATACATCAGTGATATAGCGTACTGCTTATACTGACCAATTCTTTATCTAATATCTCTGGGTTGCCACTTATGGCTTTTGCTCGATGTTATAAGCAGCAGATGATCCCTTTCTTTATGATGTATGGATGGTGGGAGTTGAAATTGAGGTACTGTCTGGTGAATATTGGTTTGTGGTATATGGAAAGAAATATAAAGGAGAGATAGGCTGACCCCTTAAGATAAGGCATCAAGAACACCAGAAGGCTGAAACACGAGGGGAAGTGGAAAAATCAGACATGGCTGACCACATATAGAGAGAAAAGGGAAATCACCACCCTCTGTGGGATCAGGTTCATAGACAAAGAACATCATTGGAAAATTCATAAACTTAAGGAATCAGCACATATGCTAGGCCACAAAAATCTCCTGAGTCGACCAAGCATAGAAATGAATACAATATGGAAACCAGTAATAAGGAGTGTCAGAAAAAAGCAATAATATATACTAGCAGTTGCCTGGATGTACCTGGCTGCAATTGTATAACTGCATCACACTGTATAGAAATGTCTGCCTGTGTTCCCACTTGCATGCATCATCCATTGGTATACTAAGCCTCATCTTTTTTACGGGATGTTCTTTGTAAGTGTCTGATTGTTCTTCATAAAGGAATTCCATTGATAAAACCTTGTGTGGCCATTGCTTGGAGTTAAATTGTTTCAATGTTTTAGATATTCAGTAACTTCCTATGGCCATAATAACTTTCAAATAGTATGGCATTGTTCACAAACCTAATAATCAAATAAAAACAGGGATGAAGCATCAGAGCTTGATTCAACTGCAAGGGTAAATGAATGAATGCACCCCCCTCCTTATTTACATGGTTACTGTGAAGCTGGGGTTAATAAGAGGTTCTTTGGGAATTTTTCTTTTTTAATGCTTCAATAATACTTCTCAAACAATCTCTGCATCAAAGGTTGTTCGAAGGCCAATTTAGGATGGAATCATATAAAGAAACTATTGGCTAAATGGCAAAAGCTGATTTTGAACCTAATTTGTTGCAGATTTCATCCACTTAACTGAAATAATTTAAATCAAACATTCATGCAGGACAATTTGTGTGTCATATGTAATTTACATAGCAAATTTGGAAAGCATCTGATGAAAGACCAGGGAGTTATGGCCGAAAAACAGGCTTTTTGAACAGTTTTTTGTGGTTTTTCATTATACACAAGGAAGTGAGCAGGACTAAAACCACACTATCTCATTCCTTGCATGATGGCAAATTTTTGACATCATGTTTGAAGAAAATTGGATAAACAATAAGGAAGTTATTCAAGTTTTTATTTTAAGTAGTACAAAAAATCTAATTATTTTCAGTTTTTTGCAATTTTATGTGTGAAGCCAATGTTGCAGGAAAACTATGAAGTACTTGACATAAACCTCATAACATGAGCTATGTTTTGCATTAAGTGCAAAGAACATCAACTCATCAAGTAAAAATTTTGTTTACATGTAATTTTGCCAGGGTTTTTGCGAAAAGTCATACCCACCTTCAGTTTTATCGATTTTTCTACCAAACCTGTGGGCCCCAGAGATTGAAAAGTTGGTCTTGACCTATGTTGATAAATTTGCAATGTGTATACATTTTCATTGAAATCAGTTGAGAAAGGTGCACGTGTTTAAATAGCATAGACACATACACACATCTTCTGTTTTATAGATATAGATTAGATATGAAGTCTAATCTTCCCTACTTATTAATTAGATGTTCAGCTGTTATGATAACAAGAGGCATTACTCAATATGAATGAATTAAATATACGTCATAACAGGTTCTAATAAGTCTATCTTTATTAGATGCTTTTCCAGATGTAATCATTTTGGTTATTCGACTCCCAACATTTCCACATTTGTACTCTCCTATCTTCTTCACTGGAAAATAAGATGACTGAAAGAATCACTGCCCATGTTAGTTTTTGATAACCTCCTCAGTAGACCTAGCATAAAGATGAACACTATTTGAGAGTCTTTGATTAAGAAAGAAACAACATTCAAAAATTCCATCATCTGAATATAGACATTAAGTTTAAGATTCCTAAATTGACCCAATGGATTGTCCAAGAAACCCATAGTGGATTAAAGGGATGGTTAAAATATAGCTAGTTCCATGGCAACTGTGAGGTCAATCCCCGGATCAGGTTGTGTAGAAAAGTGATATAGTTTGATTCAGTAGAATTAAATAAGTGGCACAAAGGCAAATAGACTGGAGAATATTTACTGATACAATTTATCTCCCCTAAGCATGGGAAATCAAATGAGAACAAGCAAAACCACAGGCTTCCGTTAAAAAATTCTGAGAAGGTAAACAGACACCTGAAGAAGGCTGGAGAGTGCAACGGTCAAAAGTTTGTGATTATAACAATCTAAATGACCATAATATTCTAAATAGAAATGATTATGATTATCAAAATCCATTCTAATGAAATATAATCTAAATCAACTCTTGGGTTGGGTTTGGTGGAAGAAATAGACAAGTGAGAAAAAGGCAAAATAGAATAGATTAAATTCATTCATATGAGTTGTCTCCCCTGAGCATGGGAAGCTTAATGAGATCAAACCCCCAATACATGGATTAAATAAATGATTCAGTTCAAGATTCTGTGAAGGTTATCGAGTACCATGTGAGACACCTGAAATGTTATAAATATAACAATCAAGAAAAGTATACTAATTCAAATGAGAAAGGTATATAATAATGATAACAACTCATCTAAAAAATCTCATTAGTAAGTAGGAATGATCAGGTTGCTTATACATTTATTTTTATTTGTTTTGTGTTTGCCTTCTTAGCATGTTTATACTTTTAATGATTTAAAAAGCAGAATTCTTTCTTAGATGTGATAATAGAATAAATTATAGATAAAAGTCATATATCAATCATGGAGAAAATATAATCAATGTAATTGCAGAATTTATGCAAATATCATTTTTTGATGAGTAATTTGATTTTATTGATTTACTTTTTTATGGCTTAGCAACTTTTTTCAGGTTATTTAAAGCCAGAAAATACTTGTAGATTTTAAGAATTCTAAGGAGATAATAATTTTTACTGATAAAATTTTTACTAATTAACCCATAGCTGGGGAGAGAAGAGGTGAATTCATATCTTCCCAAGAGGATTTACATGTAAGGGAATATAATGAACCCAACTGGAATTGGAACTTGGCTCTCCATTTTCCAGTTCTGAGCCATTATCCATTACACCACCCGCACATCATAGCTTATGGTACCTGTTGTTCCCAAGTGGCCACCCATCTAGGTACTGACCTGGCTTGATGTTGCTTAACTTTGGTGATTGTATGAGAACCAGTTTTCCAACATGATATGGCCATAAGCTCTTTTTTTCTATTTTGATGAGTAAAAAAGAAATAGCAGCAAAAAATGAAAATATTTTTGTTCCTTCATTTTCTTCTCTTTTCTCTTTCTAAAATTCCTTTAAGACATTTTTTTTTCTGTGTCACTGAGGAGTTGTGGGGAGGGGCCTTGTTCTGGCTTATGTTACATTTTTTTTTCCATCAGTTTCTTCTCAACCTGTGCAATCAGCAATCATCATTTTGAAACAAATAGATTTTATGTGTTAAATTTTATGGGGATAAATAACACATGGTTTTTCCTGAAAGATTTTGTTTCAAAACTCAAATAAATATTTATCTTGTCTTCTTTTTTTTTTTTTTCTCTCTGCCTTTTTTGCTTATTTTTCTCTTTTTGTCTGCATTATTTCTTTTCTCTCTCTTTTTTCTTTTTTCCTTTGTTACCTTTCTTTTTTCCTTCATTTTTCTCTCACCCTATGATCTTTTCCTTCCTCTCACTTTTGCTTTCTATCCTTCTCTTTTTTTACTCCCCCACCTGTATCCTACAAAATGATTGATTGCATCTGTCTGCTACAAAACCAATTCTTTAAGTTACAGGAATTTGATTAGAACCAAATTCACTTGAATCACAGCCAAAATGTAATTGATTGCAGTGATCAGTTAAAAACTTGTATATATTTTGCTTCTTAATGCATAAATAAAACAACTTACATCAAAGCCATTGCACCCCCCACCCCACTAAAGCCACTGGCAACCATCACCACCACCCCCAAAAAAATTTAATTGATTTGGTTACATTCAACTGTTTTGTGAATGTTATAATGTCTATTTATAAGAATGGTCAAGTCTGCATGAGAAAAGTAGATATTACATCTTGCGTGTTGCTTGATGATGTATGGAGAACAGATAGGATAAAATAGAAATCATCACAATTACTGGTAGTTGTGAATAACCAAAGTAATATTCATTTAAAAATTTTAAAGGGCAAGCTTCAAGAAGTAAATATAAATTTCTAGAAATTTGGTTCTGGTTTTGTTTTCAAGTTTTCACTGGTTTAGTGGTTTTCTGGTCATCAGTGGTTCTGTGTTTATTAGGTTTTTACTTGTTTTGTGGTTTTCTGGTCATCAGTGGTTCTGTGTTTATTAGGTCTCTACTTGTTTTGTGGTTTTCTGGTCATCAGTGGTTCTGTGTTTATTAGGTCTTTACTTGTTTTGTGGTTTTCTGGTCATCAGTGGTTCTGTGTTTATTAGGTCTCTACTTGTTTTGTGGTTTTTTTGGTCATCAGTGGTTCTGTGTTTATTAGGTTTTTACTTGTTTTGTGGTTTTCTGGTCATCAGTGGTTCTGTGTTTATTAGGTCTCTACTTGTTTTGTGCTATTCTGGTCATCAGTGGTTCTGTGTTTATTAGGTTTTTACTTGTTTTGTGGTTTTCTGGTCATCAGTGGTTCTGTGTTTATTAGGTCTCTACTTGTTTTGTGCTATTCTGGTCATCAGTGGTTCTGTGTTTATTAGGTTTTTACTTGTTTTGTTGTTTTCTGGTCATCAGTGGTTCTGTGTTTATTAGGTCTCTACTTGTTTTGTGGTTTTCTGGTCATCAGTGGTTCTGTGTTTATTAGGTCTTTACTTGTTTTGTGGTTTTCTGGTCATCAGTGGTTCTGTGTTTATTAGGTTTTTACTTGTTTTGTTGTTTTCTGGTCATCAGTGGTTCTGTGTTTATTAGGTCTTTACTTGTTTTGTGGTTTTCTGGTCATCAGTGGTTCTGTGTTTATTAGGTTTTTACTTGTTTTGTGGTTTTCTGGTCATCAGTGGTTCTGTGTTTACATTGTGGAGTGATTTCGTAGTGGAGGCTAGTATTTGTACTAAGTCGGTCCTAAAATAGGTTTAACGTACAAAATGTTAGGAACTTGATATAATAGGGATAACGCAGGTAATCTAGTTGTGGTTGCTGATACTTTAGTATTCGACTAACTGTCGTCCAATATCAACTGACTGACTGACTCCCTCGTTACTCTTACTACTCCTACTTATTATAGGTGAGAGAGTCTATTAACTATAGAATAGGTGTGTTCCACCATAACACCCCCACCTAAAACTTTACTCCGTAGGAGTAAACAGTTTTATTTCTTTATTTTTTACAGGAAATATGAAGAAAAAACAAAAAAAAAACTTTATTATTTTAGCAACATTGTAGCGTATCTCTTACATTTTGGATCCACTTTTAAATGATCAGTTGCCTTTCTTTTTCTCCTGGATCGGCCTACCTCAGGTAAAATTGTTGCAGGCATATCAAAAGTCACCTCCATCGGCGTTTCTTCTGCAGGACCGCTGTCAACCACGTCTGAAGAACGTCGTCTGATCTGGTTACTGCACGTGAATTTTTTGCCTTTCACCAAGTACATCATATTGCCAATCCGCCTTTCTGTTTTTTGGTACTTCCATAGTGTTACCAGAAACAACCTTCCATTTTGAGCTTCTTAAGGCTGGAGTCACAGTTTCTGTAGGTTCTTCTTGTGGTTCTATTTGTTCAGCCTCTAGTTTTCCTTTTGTTGATCTTGTGCTTCTTAACGTTTTCTGTGGTGACTTCAGTTGACTTAGATCATTTAATAATACTGCATGTCCTTGGCTGCCGGTAACTCGATCCCCAGTTTTTCTCGGTGTCAGCTTCATCTTTACTTTCTGGAGCTTTTTTTCCACGTATATCGTCACTGTTACCCATTCACTATACTCAACTTTTTTAAATACACCGGTTTTCTCTAATCTGTCCAATTCTTTATCTATCTGTTCAATTGAGGCAAACGGCACATTCCTTTTCTTTTTGAATACTGCCTGAGCATTTTCTTTTAGCTGGAATTTTGCCTCCATCTTGGTACACGTTCCCATCCCTGGAGAAAAAAACAGTAGGAAATGTTTCCTTAAGTTTCTTTACTAATTTTTGGGCTTCAGAGTTTAAACTTTCTACCTTGTAACAGAAAGAATTTATTGATCCCATAATTGGAATTCTTCGTACCAAGTAAGTTTGTGGTATTTTCTATGACAAAGAGTTTAGCTTTTCGTGTTTTTTTTTTAACATGACGTTTGTAACAAATTCTCCAATAAATTGTATTTTTTCTCCCATCACTGACCTCGCGATTTTCTTTGTCTTCATTAAAGTTGGCTTCCTCAACTTCTTCCACGTATGCAAATTTATGATAGATAGGTTGGAACCAGTGTCGAGTTGCATTTTTATTTTTTTATTACTTATTTCGACGGTAACAAATTTTCTGGTTATTCTATCGTTCACCTCGTTTGACTTTAATTTTCTTATTTTATTGTCTTTATTTTTTGACCTGCAGTGCGAGCTTTTATGACACACTCTTTTACAGCTGAAACATTTTTTATTCCTAAAATTGCAATATCTGTACCAGTCAAGTTCACCGCAAGCAAAACATGGCTTCGGGAGTTTTTGTTTATTTTTCTCTGGTATTTCACTTTTTGCTTGATAATCCGCAATTTTAGAATTCTTTTTGGTAGACTGACTTTCTTTTTTGTAGTGTATTTTCCTTACATGCGAAACACCAGACTGTTCTATCTTCTTTGAATCTTTCTTTACGCTAACATATCTTGTGCAGTCTTCTGCCAACTTCTGTACTGTAACATTTGGATTGCTTTCCAATTTAGCCAGTACTAATTTTCTCAACTCTGCGTCTCTGAACAAACACCAAGCACTTAACATTGTCTGCGCTTAACTCTGTCAGCTTGAATTCTTCACAATGCTTATTCACATTGGCTGCGTATGTTATATAGTCTTGTTTGTCATCTTTCATCAGATTCAAACATTTCCACCTCTTGTGAAACAAAGATGTCTTTTTACTAAATAATTCACTTAATATATTTACTGCTTTGGTAAATGTCAACTCGCTAGTTTTTTTCGGTAAAATGTAGTTTACCAATTTGTTATGCTCAGCAGTTCCTAATTTGCTTAAAAGAAGCCTAACCTTCTTTCCTTCAGACCATGAGTGGCAGTCCTCGTTATACACGTCCGTATATTTTTTATAATACTCCTCAAAAGTTATCTCTTCATCTGGACTGTACGTGAATATTTCAATTGAATTCCATATTGTATTCTCTGGGAAAAAATCATTTTGTAGATTTTTCTCTTTCCTCTTCTCAGTTATTTCCAGAATTTTGTTTTGAAACTCCCTATGCTTCTGTTCCATTTTTTGTTGGAATTGCATTTGTCTATTGAAATACCATCAAATTAATTAAGCATGAAAATAACAAAAAATGAGAAAATTCACAGTCAATTGCTGAAACCTCCTGATGAGTGGACCAAACTATTATGAAAATGTTTGTCCATGAAACTCCAAGAGTTGAGATACTGAATATTTATACTTCAAATACGAAACTGAGCAACTATGGACTTTGAAGAAAAATATTTTAATGAGGAAGTAAGACAGAAAAAAAGAAGCCTTGCTGAACTGTGATGCTCTTTGTAGCAGAAGCATGTTGGATTAAACAGTAGTTTCTCTGACAAATGGGTCGGGGTAAGTTTGATACCTGCTGGAGATTGCATTTTGTTTATTAATATTTCTCAAATACACAGACCAGTAAATACACACTGTAAAAATAAAAATGGGGTGTCTATTTCAAATATGAGTATCCACTATAATATTTGAAGTAATAATATATATGTATGTATGTATATATATATATATATATATATATATATATATATATATATATATATATATATTTTTACTTCGTTAATAAAAACACTGACTAATAAAAAAAAAAAAAAAAAAATATATATATAACATAAATAAAAATAAAAAATAAATAAAAAACAAGCAAAATAATTTAACCCAAATAAATAAATAAACAAATAAATGACTTTCAGTAAAATAACTGCCAAAATAAACTACCCACAATGCACCACTGACCTGTATATATAAATAGCCAAGAAAAATAACAGCACTCATGGCCTGATGATTGCATCTTGCATGAAACAGCCTGTCGCCTCTAAGTGTTGACTTCTATGTTCACTT